ATTTAACTAGAATTTTTATCTCTCAAATATTTTAGAAGAGTTTACTGTCTTATTAAGATAATCCTTTGAATCTTTTTGTTTCTTTATTCTTACTTATTTTAATGGGCCATGCAGAACAAAAAAATTGTTATGTATGTCATTAAAACATACAGTATATAAATACGTTATATAAAATGCTATATGTTTGATATATAATATAAAAATACCAGAAGCTGAATGCTTTTTCCTTAATGTGTTCTTTATAAGACATCAGCTATGGTAGAATATAATTCACTTTGTTAGATGTGCAGATTGTATTATAAGTTGGTGCAGTGATTATAATGAATGAGAACATTTTGTGGAAGCGCTAGACGAAGTCGCTCGTCTGAACGAATTTGTACAGACAAGACACTTTGTACGGACACAGAGAAGCGTTACAGACTCATATAAACGGGCAGACTGCACCATTACAAAGTAACTCGTCTGTACAGTCTTACCCGATTAATGGTGGACATGTAAACTTAGTCTATGTCACAGCCATCGGTCATAATTACTTTAATATCTAATATATCTCTTATGATTTTTCTGTTTTTATCATAACTATACAATCTAAATTAAATTTGCATCAACTTTGACTACACCTACCATCTCGCAGGTTTCTTTTTTTCTTCTATAAAATGGACAGACATCGGTTCAGCGATCGTCCGTGGAATCCCTCTCGAGCTGCAAACGCTCTATGGACGGACTTACGGCACTTTGCGTGAATAACGTTTAGGCGTTATCGCGCACGTTATCTTTACACCTGATGGATAACCGGTGCTTTATACAACGAGCCGCCATCGATAAATTTTCTGAACGTCGTAGTGGCCCCCGTGACACACGAGGGGAGACGAGAGAGAGATAATACTCGACGATTAATCGACCCGAGCACAGCCGCCCGCGCTAATCTGCGCGCCCGCCGCGCGCGTACGCGGGCCCGGAAACTTAATTGAAAACACATAAAGCCTAACGAGTTCCGCGACGCGGGTGGCATGTCCACCCACCTTCCATCCTGTGCACGCGCTCACGCGAGCACTCGCGCATATTTCCGCGCGGCTAATGCGCCCACCCGCTGGATTATACGCGATAATAGATGTTTGCCGCGCACGGAGCGCGAAGTAAACGGAAATCGTCGATCGTTTACTCCGTAAATGTGACACAGACGCGTTTGTAATCATCTTGCTCATACTTCGACGACGAAAAACGAACTAGCGTCTTACGAATCGCTTGAACGAATCGAATACGTTCAATCTCGTATACCTAAACTTTTTTTTAATTCTTAAAGCTTTTTTATTGCTGCTGCTAGTTTTAACATTTCCGTTCCTATTATATATCCTTATATCCATTACGTTAGAGTATTTATCTAAATGCGCACACAAGTTATCGTCGCGGATTAGGTATGACGCGATTCAAAAGTCACGGGATAAAGCTTGCATCGCATCGTTGCGAACGCAGGATCCTACAACGAGTGACTACCTCTGGCTCCGGGTCACGAGGCAAGCGCTTTATCTTCAACGCCCGCGCGCCGCGGCTAACGCGAGATCGATTCTCTCAGTCGATTCAGGCACCCCGCCTCCTCTTTTTCTTAGCGGATTAGCGGGGGCCTCTCTTTTATTCGCCACCGGACACGCGAGGCGCTATAAACCTCCACGAACTCCCACTTATCTCTCTCAATCAAACCTCCCCCCTCTGGCTTCGCGATCTTTAAGCAGCGCGAGGCATTAATGTCGGACGATTATCCCTCAATTTGGCAGATTTTAAAAAATCCACGGTGCACACTCTGCTCATAAATCGACGGATTAACCCCGGCGTTTAACATTATCAATTACCCCCTGACGTTCTCTTTCTCTCTCTCTCGCGCGCGCGCGGCGGCCGCGAAAGCCTCGAATACCTGTGCGCGAAGAAAGAAGTGAAAGAAGGATGAAGAAGATCGAGGGTAAAGGACCGCGCGAGTGGGAGCGAGCAGAGGGAAGACGAAGCGGACAGAAAAGGCGAAACATATGTTAAGACCGCGTATTATTACCGGTAATGCTTAGGATTAACCCTGCCGCGTAGGCGAAGCGATGATATAGCGAACGCGAGAGGGATGATCTCACCATTGGCATTGGTATGATATAATCGAGCAGCAGCGGAAGAAGATGTTTACAAAACGCGTTCCGAGATTTATAATAAATAACAATTTTGGAGACAGTAGCGAAAATCCTGCGTGAGGAGAATTCTCGAAGGATAAAATATTGTAATTCGATATAATTTACATAATTTAGAAATTAAGGAAGGACGATTTCTAAATGTACGCGCAAATGTATGTGGCTAATATCTATTTAACTGTAATATTATTAATATTAAATTGATTTGAACTACACCGTCGTTATGTAGAACTCGAGTCAGCTGCAGAGCTCGGATTTATAGTCATATATTTAGTGAAAATTAATAAGATATTTTTAATCGATAAATTAAATTATTTCCTCCCTTGCATATGTCATAATGTGGAAAGAGATAACATATTATATTATTAATCTGGAGTTACTCGAACAAGACTGTCTAATACGCGCGAATTCTATCTTAATCGTCAACTTCTTACCGGAAGCGAACCCCTTTTTAGAAGCATAATTAAGCGACCGCGTCATACGTCAATCACACGCATTATTATATTGTAACGTCACAAATTATATATTATGGTTAGACGAGAAAAAGGAAACGAGAAGGAAAAAGAATTAGGGTGAAACGCGAGACATTGACAGGCGAAGCTCTGTCAGATTTGTTCCTATCCTAGTAGTGACGACTGCGTGCTCCATTAGATAGCGAAGATAGGGTCTCAGCTAGAATCATGAGAAGAGTTAATGGCCATAACGAGACGTCCGGAACGAGACCTCGGAGAAGGGAAAAAGTGTCCGAAGCAGCGGCTAATTAAGCGAAGCCGCCCCGTCAGGCGCACGGAAATTGCGGCTAATAATACCGCCGTTATTGCGCTGTTATATGTCGTGGCCTGACCGACTGAATTCATAATGATGATTCCTCGATATGATTCCTCGAAGACGCTTGGCTTCCTCCAGACCGCTCACGAGATTTCTGCTGCAACAAAAATGGATAATTGATGAAATCGGCCATACGCATATCGGGAACGAATTTTATTAGTTCTCATTATTGATAAATATCATTTCCTCTATTATTAAACAATACAATTATTCCAATTTTGCGTACATTGAACGAATGAAAAGAACTTTTTAATTATAAGAATAATACAAATAAGAACTTGGATTTGTGTAATCAAAATTACGTGATGTTATATATAATCGCATGTTTACACGAACAAATCATCATTCCGTAATGAAATAAGCTTACAAATTACAATTTTACGTCAATTACGAAGGACGACTTTTATGATCGAACGAAAGGCGCGAGTGGTCAAAATATTATCGGCAAGACGATCGATAGCAGTCTCATAAAGCCGACCGCATCTTTTCGTTCAATCCCGCGAATGTATTGCCTTGCTAATGCAAGTACTAATTAGTAACAGTAATGTCACGGACATTTAATATGCTTGTCATGCAAATCGCAAAACGTGCTGCAAGATGCCCGATTCAGTGCTGACCGGTCGCGTCGTCGCCGGGTCAAAGGTCGTCAAAACTCTCTAAACAGCGAAGTAAATTGCAATGCTACGCCATGTAACACGGCAATAAACTGCTAATGTTTGAAAGGTGTAGAAATTTACGTGGAAACGATTCGCGATATATACTCACGAAATTTCGCGGAAAATCCGCGCGACCGTGAGCGATTATAAGTTGAAGTCAAGCTTCGAGTCAGATCGGTCCCGATTTCTCGTACGCGGTTCTGTAAAAAGAGATTATAAAGCGATTTGTAGCACATCGTGGTCGCGGTGGGATTGGAGCTCTCGGGAGGGGGGACTTGAGCGCAAAGGAACGCTCGCGCTTTCTTCACTCCGTTGATTTATTCGCGAGAGGTTGCATGAGCTGCACCGTGCTCGCCTGACATCGACCTTCGATCCTCGATCGCTGATGGATCGAGGGCACGGTACCGTGACGTGCCACGGCACGTTCGCGCAAACACGGCAAACATGCAGATATCGCGTATGAAGAAAAGAAATTGCACGTCGATCGTTGCTCCCATTATTCCGCTTGTATTCAGCACCCTCTCGGGGAACGTCGTGATTTTACTTTTGAATAGCAGTTGTAGCTATTATCCGGAACACGGCACGCTCCCTGCAAGGTGCGAGAGATACCGCGTAATTATGTAAAATACCGTAATCAGTTAGGCGGCAGGTGATACCGGTGTTCTCAGAAATAGGTTTCCAATCTGCGAGGACGGCTTCCCCCCCCCTTTAAATCGGAATATCCTATCGTGTAATCCGGTCCCCTTAGAAAATGAATATTAACATCGCTATCGCGTATGCAGTGAATTATGTTATAGAATCCCGTTTGAATTGATCACACACATGAATTTCCGCAGCTGTGAGTTCTCAAATCGATAATATTATTTATAAATATTAAGATGCGATCTCCGTTCAGCGATTTAAACTCAAATGATTTATGTCGAAGCAAAGTACAATTATTTAAGTTCTATTTACGTTCCACGTATTTCACGTTTTATCCATCTTGCGCTCTGATCATCGTGTTTTATTACAGATAGGCATCATAGGCAGCAATTGCTGGTGCCTCACCTTTTGCGTGTACATTTTTCTCATTCATGCTCCGTGTAATTATCCAATTTATCATAAAGCAATCTTGTGTGTGCGCGCGCGCAATAAAGTTATTATTGTTATTATTACATTTTTTTTTAACAGCAAAGAAGCAAGCAGGGATAAATGGAGGAAATGTGTTTCTTTTGCAGCGTCCCCATCTCTGCCACCGTTGGGCGAAACAGCATGGGACAGAGATCACGGTCGTGATCGAAGCCGGGAGAGGAACCGGGAGCGCGAGCGCGAAAGGGTGCGGGAGAGGAGCGGCGAGAACGAGAGGGAACGAGAGCCCGCGATCAGGGAGAGAGAAAGGGAACGCGATCGCGACAGGGACAGGCAGCGGGACCGGGAGAGGGACCGGGAGAGGGACGTGTCGGTTTGCATGATGGAGCCGCCCGACTCCGTCTTCATCTCCCCTTCCGCGGCCCTTCTCGCGTTGCAGAGGATAAAGGACGCTTCTCTGTAAGTATTATTATTCACCTGTTGCGTCCCCTCCTCTCCCCCCTCACTTAAGACAGGCGTGTCTGCGTTGCGTAAAGACGACGAGGGAACGCCGAGGAGAATAGGCGTTAAAGGCTCATGTAGCGTGATTAAGACGAGCGCGTGATAAAAGTTAATGATTAATTGATAATTGATATTGCCGCCGGCATAACACGATGCATGCTAAACAAGTCTGCATCGTGGATGTGGTCGATGTGGATAATGCGAGAATAATTTAATGTCCCGCTAGTGTCTCTAGTAATTCTGATCGAAAAGATTTTCTCCTGCGAATCGTCAATCATCTAACGTGAAAACCCGAACGAGAATTCGCACGTGGTAGAATGTAGAATCTGTAGGTAGAAGAAATCAAAATTGTATGATTGCCGCCATCCGGTATGTAACATTTAAATTCTTCGGAATGAAGACGTGAAGACGGAATAAGTGCGCGATAACGCAAGAAACGTTGCGCACGTACGTGTGCGTTCAAACTTATTAACAATATTACTGCGGAATACAAAGACCGACTTTATTATCGCTTTACAATCGGTTGAGAGCGGCAGGATATCGCGAGTGCACTCATTCACGGTGCCGATGCTTACGTATACAGCCGTATATTTCATCGAATGCATAAGCATGTCCAGGGTTAATAGGACGAGATCGTGCACCCGCTGTAAATCTCATTTAATTTGCTCTCGCCGCGCACCCGCGCGCGACTGTCGTTTCCATTGTGCGCCCGGGCCCTCTCCCGCGATCCATCCGAACGTTATATAGAAACCGTGCCCCGACATACACACTAGGAAACATAGTAATCTCGTGACACCCGGCGCACGCTAACAAACCTCATTTTACACGTCCCGTCACGATTTCTTTCGAGCACGCGCCTAAGTAATTTCGACTCGCTCCTTTCGCCCAATTAGCGTGACGCCGATCCATTATAAGCTCTTTGTAAATCAGTGTATCTATACGGCCGTGCCGCGCACGAGCTCCATTGGCCCCTATCCTTGGATCTTTCAATCGGCGGTTTCAAGTCCGTTGGAGAAATCGATCGTTATCTAAAAAACGCGCACGAGAATCATTTTAATTCTACATTTATAAATTTTCAAGCATTTAGCAACTATATCTGTTAGGCAATAATTATACGGCTCTTCTTAACTGTATGGAATTTTATATGGTCATTTCTATCTTAATCCACGCATGACGAAGAAATAATTATAAATCATGTCCGATGTAAATTGCAGCTTGTCTTTTATGTGTACATCTTTTTATCCCTTTGTGTATACCTCGAGCATGTCTCAAGTAGACATGAGTATACGTACATGCAACACGAGTCCTGATACACCCGTATGTCAGTATTCTGTGTAGAGAATGCGCGATGAATTCGCCGCATAGAAAAAATATACATATATTAAGTCGTTCGATAAGCAGTGTCGTATTTATTTTATTTATATCAAATTAGGCAGACGGTAGTGGAACAAAGTGTTAATTACATTTTACATTAGATTAAATTAATAAATGAAATAAATTTTGTTCTTCAAAATCTATTTCAAAATGCGACATTACTTATCGAATGATCTAATACATTTAAAAACAATTCTCTCTTGTCTATCAGATCATCGGATTTATGATGCCCAGTTGATTAATGTTTTTTTTCTATTATGTCGTGTTGACTTTTATTAGGTCGTCCTGTAAATGATACAGTATAAAAGGGAGCTTAGTTTACTCTTTAGCTCAAAACCGAGAGATTTATCACTAGAGAATTGAAAATTTAAGATTAAGATGGCAAGAAACTGTAAATAATAATGGAAAGTATACTTTGGATTAAGATTAAAATGTCGATTTTTTTGTTTTACTTCAAAAATATCTATTAAATCGCGTTACTTAAGGGATGATCTAGTAATTTTCATGTGAGTGATATCACATTTGATAAAACGAGTTTCATTAACTTCTGCTTGCAGCGAAAACTGTCTACAGATTACAACTGTGGCACATACCCGTTTTTACTTCGTTTCGTTATAGGTTTTCGTTTAAAACGCACATTGCGATGCGCGTTTTTGCCACACATTTCTGGCTCGCGACGTGCGGTCTTCTCGCCGCTAACGCGAGGGTTAACGGACTGTGACGTGTACAGCAAGATCGTTAGAAAAGTATGTTAGGAGGCAATATACAGTTGTTAGTTCATATTGACGTACAGCGAATAATTAATTTTCCATGGCGTTTATGTGTCGACAGAGAGAGAAACACGAATGAACAAAGACACACTGGCTGGTGCTTTCCGAGGGGCGGGATTGAGGTAGACGCGAGCCGGATTATCGCGACTGGAAACGGATTTATGTCAGTTCGCGCAACACGTCGTTCTAGTTTATAGCGCGAATGGTACGGAGGAGAGCCCTCACATAGCTTCGATGAAATACAGCGCGGTTAAGAACGCGTCAGTGGTACCGACGTCATTTTATCGAGCCAGCAAAACTCGAATTCTCCGGGTTGCAGCCCGGATCGCACGTCGCAGATCGGTATCGCTCTGTAATTTATTGTCTCGATGAATTTATATAAAATATCGCCGTCAAATAAAATAACTTCATGTCAACGAGTCATCGTATCGATAACAAAATTATAATGATAACAAAAGGAGCGAATATAAAGGCGTATAGAAAATTTTGACATAAATAACGTTCTAAAATAATATAATCCAAGAGTCGAATTTATTGTGTTCGTGGAAAAACTTCGAAACTTCGGATACTTATGTAATTCTTTCAGATTATCTCTCGTCGGCGTGTTTACCTCCTTTCTTACTTCATAAATAATTTGAGGGTGATATTTTGCGCTGCGCCAAATTGACCGGTACTAATACGGCACGTCGTAAAAAAAAGGCAAGCCTATCTATATTGTTGCCACGTACGAGTTTCGTGGAAAAACAAGTCTTACCAGAATTCACTGCGTCAAGTTGAGATTGATCGAGCCGGTCCGATATACGCCTTTCTTGTTTTCATCGATCGGTCCAGTGCCGTTCGGCCGATTGCGCGCTTTCGACGAATCGACTCACTTTTTCGAATATTTATCGAGAAAGGTACTCCGCATTACAAATGACCCGTCGGAAATTGGTACACTCATCTGAATGTAAAAGCAGTTATCTGGGAAAGTAATTTACACCGACTTGGATTAAGCAAAGAGAAACGCAAAATTATGTTGATTTAGACCTCCACTGTTGGAGCAAATAATTTTATGTCTTGTGAAATTATCATTTTTAAACAAGTCAATTTTAAGGGTTTCTTCTTTTTTCAGTGTTTCTTAATAAATGTTTATTTTTAATCATTCGGTGTGGACACCTAAATCTTTGATATTTCTTTTAAAATCGTTCTTTTATGAGTTTATTTTGACGGAGATATCAGACAAGTAAACCTACAAAAAAAAAATCAGATTTTAATATAAAAATTGAATATTAAATTAGAATAAACTTGCAACTCTGGGAAAATATTAAAAATTAACTACTATAGCCGCCAGGTGTACATATATACATGATTAGAAAAAGTAAGAGTGAGAGATCATCTGTCGCGCAATCGAGTCTACTCGCGGCGCAAAACGACCGACGATGAAGACGTCTCGTCCATATAGGAATTGATATTGGTAGCGACTGGTGGCTGGAACGGCGAATTTTTTGTCGCTCGTTTCCTCATCGTAATCAACGTCTGGGATGTATGGTGTATAGTTACGAGCGTGCGTCGGGCGGCAATCAGGCGCAAAAAGGCACGCGATCCCAGGATTGATCCTTTCATAATTCGTAGTGCGTTGCGTTACGCCGTTTTATGAATCGCGTTTGATTTCTTCTTGACGGGATATTACTTCTCCTCGGGTCGTTTCATTTCGAACGACATTGCCTGCCTTTGATACAGTCAAAAACTAGTCACTGAGTGAGTTCTTCGCTCATGTGAAGAGAAAGGTTAATACAAGACTTACATAAATGTCGTTAAACATTGATAAATTCCCAGGAAGTCTATTAAAAATTGTAATTAAAATATCGCCATGAAGAAATTGCTTATCTTCTCTTTTCCTCTCTTTAGATCGCATTTTATTTTCTAAATTTGTGAATACTGAATTATGCTTTACTTACATCGATTTTACAAGATCCATCTCCAATTAAAATAAATTTAAAAAAAATAGATATATATCGTGTCGAATGTAGTTTTATTAGGGCAACTTTTCAACGGCATGAGATATTTTTATTTGTATTTATTCACGTCATGTTTAATCTTATGTGGGTTTAACTCTCTGATTACAGCGTATTTCACAAACGTCCAGCGCTAGCGGCGGGTATTGGTTTGGGCGGTCGAGGAAACGCCGTTGGCGGAAACGGCGGCAGTTTAGGTGTCGACGGCGAATGCGGCGACGCGCTGAAGAGACGCAAAGTTCACAGATGCGACGTCGCCGGTTGCGACAAAGTTTACACGAAGAGCTCGCACCTAAAGGCGCACAAGAGGACTCATACCGGTAAGTTGGTGTTAATTGCCCGGGTATACAGCGCTTTCTCGATCTGGAATCGACTGTGTTACAATGATGACTCGTGTCTGCAGTTTTGTCTATAAATAAATTATATCTATATCTTCTATAATTATATTACCTATCGCGTCAATTTTAATATTCTTCGATAAAGTAATACGGAATCTTTCTCATATTATTTTGCCTCTATTTTTGTTTTTATCGTCTCCAGTGTTAATTACTGAAATATATTTCGGAAGATAACAGAACTCTCTTTTGATCAGGGACTCACAGACGAAAGATGCCACTGGAGTTGCAAGTAAAATAAGCTAGTTAAATTACGTAGCATCGTTGTGTCATAAATCTCTCCGTCCCAGTACACAGTTAAAAAAACTATAGACAACTATTGGAACTACAGTTGGGAAAGCTAATCAAGATGAAATAAATCAATCGATTCGAAGAAACAAACGCGTTACGTTCTCGATGATCGCTATGTGCGATCGTGACTCACGTGTGTGCGTCAGCGATCGTTGGAACGATCGCGTGCCTCGTCACCTTAACATCGGTCCCCCCTCTCTCTCTTCACATACGCGGCTTACGCTGGTTTGCCCTATTGTTTCTAGTAGTAGTATTAACGTACAAACAACGCGATAGTCTACGCAGAATACTTGAACTCTACGAGCGTAGTATTTGAAAAGAAAAAGCGGACAAGAAAGAGTTTAATTACGGGGACAGGGCCTCGTCATTACCGCGTGCAATTACGTATATAAGCTAGGATCTCGGCGAAGCAGCATGATGCTTTCGAAGTGAGCGGACGTGGAAATCTCTTCTTCTGCTCGCGCACTAGAAGAAACTTCGCTTATGTGTAGATTGGGAATCATTATCCTCCACCTTCCCACGTTAAATCGGCGCGAAGTTCGCAGCTTCGCCATCAAATCGTCGTTCTGTGCCGATAATAATGATGTTCGAGTTGAGCGTACGGTAGCTGACGACTTGTCGTCCAGCTGTGTCAAGTACTCGATGGGCGAGTCATTAGTCATCGGGACATTCCTTTAGTATCTACGAGAACCGGGAGTGCGCTTCTCTCGAACGAGCTGTGCTCGAATTGGACGCGGTAAACGCCCGGTAGCCGCTCGCCGCGCGAGATTTACGAGCTCCGAGAAATTGCTGACCGATTACGATAAAAGGGCAATTCTGAAAATCAATTCTTCGCGCGAGTTCAACTAAACTGTACAGGAAATTCCCGATTCTTTTATCGAATCGATTAATGGACGGTCGTCGGTTCGATCGCGCGTTAGTTCGTCGTGTTTCGCGAATTTATATACATCAGCAACACTACGACTCTCTTGCATATTGCACACAGTACAACAGGATAGGATGCACACATCGGCACGGCCGCGGCGTGGCGCCGTGCTATCCTCCGCCAGGACTTTTCGCGCGCGTGATCCGTGGCCCGGCGGGGTCAGGGGTCGCCGGCATTCGCACGCTAGGATTCACGACCGTGGAGCCTCGCGGAAATTCGATACCGTTCCGCGACGTCCCGTCGCCGAGGAGGTGCCTCTGTCCAGCGCGCGGAGGATGAAGTGGGGGAGGGAAGGGGGAGAAGAAAAAGATTCGCACTTTTACCCGCTCTCGTGTACGCGGCACCCTCGCGTATACATACAACCCCGGCCATTTATTACCGCGTCACGCGAGAGAACTTTGGAGGAGGTCGCGCCGTTCCGCGCCTTCTGTTCCGTTCCGTTCCTGACCGCGCGTATGCATATACACGACATGGCGCGGCGCGGCGGTGGTGGTTGGCTTCAGGAATTTCCGGTGGATAGGTACCTTCGTGAAGGCATCGCCGCCGTCTGGCGAGGGGCACAGGCGGCGAGGAGAGAGGGCGTGGTCGTGAGAACCAGGATCTTTTGTCTGGTCCATGGTTCAAGCGAGACGCGGCGCGATCGCGGTGCTCAACCCGGAGACGCTCGCTCATGGAAATCCCTGGGGCTCTCGTTTCCTATTATCGGTCGGTCTCCAACTTTGTACACATCTTTGAGAAATTCGGAAACAAATGAAAATGAAATGTTCATTATTTTAAGTCGAAAATATCGTTCGATCATATTTTAACGAAATTATATAAGATATATTTTACTTTCACAATTGATCTTTTGACTAAAAATGTTTGTAGAAATCGTAGTTTTTAAATTCCATTATTTTTTAATTAATTTTTACATTATCCATCCCGTTTTATTTTAGTATCAAGTAAAGATTGATCACGTTTAGCGCTAACTCGCTAAGCGTGCCAGAGGATACGAATTAAGGACCGCTGGAGTCATCATTTTTTCACCCTTCCGCACGAAAATTCCGCGTGCCATCTTCCCGCTTCAGTTTCTCGCCGTTGCTCCGATTCCGCGGAGAGAAACTCGCTTCGCAAAGACATCGGAACATGCTTCGCGCATTAGGACGCCATTACGGTGGACGGTTTTACGAAATCCCCGGTGCGCGGTAATCGGCTGGTAAACGAAAGGCCATTACTTGACATACAACCCGGACCCCGTTGTGTATGTCGTATATTCACCTAAGCTTCGACTAATAATTGTTTCAACGACTGGCGTGCAACGCCCGTTTGTAGTGGCGAATCGCGCCGTCTATCCGTCATTCTAACACCGCGGCATCGTATACGGCACCGTCTCGAGATATCCTTACTTACCAAGGTGGATATAACGCCGAGGTACCGCCTGGATGTGGGAAATGCCAATTCATTGATTACCGTCATTTCTACCATTCCGCGGCATAACTCGTTCGCAAATCGCGCGATCATGATCGTCGTTGCGAAGCCGGCGGGAGTGACCGTAAAATTGTCCCGGCTCGAGGAATATAATGGGCCTAGTTCTCAAAGGCTCGTGATTTCAGAAGACTTTGCGCACCAAATATCGCGGTTTGCGCGATTTCGCGATATTTCACGGGTCTTACGTTATACTATCACGACATAGTTTTTATCGCTACTTTTGTCAATGTGAAATGTTCATTTGACATGATAGTTTAATATAGTCGCACGTGCTATGACATATTATTAATTCAGTTAAATTACGACTTTTAATTATGATGTAGAACCTTTATAATGGCGGATCGACGGGCAAAGAGTGTTATCAGCAATATTAATTGCTTCAGCGAGAGTCATAACTGAACGTTGTTCATATTACGCGCCTCATTGACGACGTAACGGAATAATAAAGAGCCTAATATTACTTTTAATATCGACGAATAGCAGCGTATACCATGACGCACGCTGTTGCGTGTAACGAGAGTTGCATTGCGGGTAGAGAATCATAGTTCATTATGAGCGCACGGTAAATCGCCCTTGCACGATTATATGGTGAGAGATGTTTCCTACGCCCATTAGCGTATACATAAAATTCCTTATCTACTTGTGAGAAATCGCGTAGCAACATGTGTATCTACGGGGTATCTCTAATTATCGCATTTCCCTCGGCTGAGGATGACTCCGCCGTGAGTTAAGAAATGCCTCTGCCGCCGCTTCTTTTAAATGCATCGTTATTTTCTGCGCCGCGGAGTTTTCCGCGAGCCACGATTTTGATTGACTCGAAGGAATTTTTAACGAGGCGTAATTAAATGGGAGCGACATAAATTTAAGTTTATTTACAATTTACTTTATATATATAAGCTGTTACCGCCAAGCGTGGGAAATGCTCGAGCAACACGCTCAAATTCTGCATTCAGGCGGATACTGATAGCGCATTCTGTCTAGTCATTTATAAACCTCAATTAAAAAAAAATAAATTATAAGCATTTTTATTCGGTTTCTTACGATTATTATGTAGGATATATTATTTATCAATTACATATCGACTGACTATCACAGTTAGTCCTACCTAACCAAAATTTAATCAAAATGCCGTTTTGGGGCATATTATTATTATTATTTATTCCATTAATTTCATTGCATTTTGCACTATCGAGTTTATTGTTATGCCACAATCGAATTAAGCTTATTCATAACAACGAAAAGGATTTAATTAATCGAAGAGGATAAATGATCGAAGCTGAGAATCACTGTGCGTAACTATCGGAATATAGGCTCGGTGTCAGCTGACTGGCGTGACCCTTGATAGACAGGAGGAGGTTTGGTGAGACCTCGTGTATTAATTAAGGCGAATTAGCCTTGGCATAAGCCGGACAACGTCGGCCGATCAGTTCCGTGTATATCGAAAGATACGCCGATGATCGCAGGCAGTCCGCTCTGTGGATTTCTCTACAAAGTGGTAGTGCCTCGAGTACCCTGTTATTAACAATGCACGTATGCACTAATGCCGAAGGCTGCGATTACCTTCGCTAGGTTAACGATTTCCTGACGAGCATGCTCCTCCGCGCATTGTTCTCGTTGGTCGTTGCAAATCGTCTCGTTGCTCTCTTTTCTGCAAATAATTTCCCATAAGCTTAGCCGCGGTATGTTTAACCGGGCTCACTTTCATGTCCGATACTTTGGCTTGATTCGGTGGTGTACGAATTTAGAAGGGATGATTTCACAAATTATGTTGATTATGAAATATGAAATATCGTATCAATTAACGTGGTTGATTTTAGACTTTCCATTATGATTTAATAATCGAAAAGTTCGAGATATATACAAAGTAAATCTACAATGTAAATACTTTAAAATTTAATACTAATTAGAAAGAAAAAGAGAAAATAAGATTTTCATTTAAGATAAATCTAAAAAATCTACTAAATAAACAAACTTATATGCAATATGTAATTGTATCTTCTGTCTTTTGTATTTTCGATTATTCATTATCTACTTTGAAAAAAATATCAATTTTTATGGCATTAAACTTTAAAGAAAATTATATTGTTTTAAAGAAAAGAATTCGCATTATTACATGTCGATGAGACAAATTCAATTGTGTGCCTAAAAACGGGACGAATTATTCGAGGCGTGTGTAATTTCAAGATGCGTAGGAGACGCTCGGCGTCTCATTACAACCTCGAACTGACATCACGTGAACGTT